AAAAAAAAAAAAAAAAAAAAAAATTTGTGAGATTTACATGGTACAAAGAGAACAATATGTTTTACTATAATGATATAGTGAAAAAGAAAAACAAAAAACCGAAAAAACCTCATTTGTTGTCTGAACATTCACATTAGATGACTTGTGAAAAGGCTACAAACATATAAAGGGAAAAAAAAATATTACATAATGTGGTATATGCTTATTTTAAATATAATTGTTAATATATTTGTTCACAATCAAATATGTAATGGATTTTAAAAAACCGTCTCTTTTCCAGCTGATTTGTGGATACTATCATCTGGCATCCCACTTCCACGAAGATCTTCACTCGTCTTCCCTTTGACGACATGTTCCTCTTCACTTGAAACACCCTAAGTTGTAAAAGGAACATGTGATCAGTTTAAACATATACTTTAAAATAAAAAGAACATCTCTGATGTTTGTATATATGGTATATATGACCACATATTATCTGATGACCGACTATAACAAAAAAACTCATAACATGCTTGCACTGTAAAAAAAGAGGTATGTGCACAGGAATATATAACTTAGATATACTAGAATATTATTAGGGACTTGCACAGAAACATGGGACAAAAATGTGTCTTAGCAAAAAAATATCCTAGAATATAGTTTTGATATACCTAAATATATCTTTGATAATATTAAAAGGAACTTCCACATGAACAGGGGACCAGTGGGGCTCTATATAAAAATACTTAAGTGTATATAACCACAAATATAGTAGATTAGCAGCCCAAAATATAGTTTAAAAATAAATAAATAAAAAAGGAAAATAATGACTTACTAAGAATTTTTCTTTAAACAAAGCAAATTCCTCGAAAACCCGTCTCGAGAAGTCATTGAATGCTTCCTTCAGGGTCTGGACTTCAGCAGTTAGTGTGTCGAGGCGGGTTATAACATAATCTTCATTGGTATGTTGCGGTGCAGAACTTGATGGAGTTGTTTTTCGGGTGAACTCATTTATTTTTGTGAAGAATGATTCCAACAACAGGTTTTGTTTTTCGGCCTCGGTAGGAACTATGTTATTGAACTGTTGGAATCAAAAAGAAAAAATGTATTATTCCAGCAGATATATAAAAAAAAAAAATAATAATAATAAAAATAAAAAATTATTATTTACCTTAGTGTGATCAAGGTTAGAAAAGGTTCTCTGTACAAAACTACGCGTACAAGGTTCACGAACTTCCCACTTGATTATCCTCGGGATATCGTGTACACCCACGTTGGTTGCGACTACACCATCAGCCGTTTCGCATACCTCGTAAAACCATGTCTGGAGAGCCAATATAAGACCATATAACCGATACAGGTTGCTTCCCTCGTCGTTGTCAGACATGTGCATCTGCTCTCTAGTTGGAATTGATTTCTTCAGGTACAGTAGAGTGAATTGAAAAACAGCAGTTCCCCACGAGTAATCATCACACTCTGGGCTGTCAATCATGTCAACGAAACAGCGGTCTATGCGAAGGGCATCTTGAGAGCCCATGAGGAAATTTGCTAAGAAATGCAACTTAGCAAATTTCACAGCATCTTCATCGCTTGCCCACAATTTTTTCAGAAACTGCCATCTGATGTGGCTCCGAGTTAATTCAAGACCAGCAAAATACTTGTCGTGCAGACCATTGGCAATCTTTGGAATGTTCAGTTTCTTACTGAATTCATTGCACTTTAACCCAGTCACGACAGCAAATTCCTCTATACCAAATCGTAGGAATTTCCCTCCAAAGTCAAACCAGATCTCATCTGTCCTACCTTGGTGAACCTCGCGTAGAAGTATGTAGTTTACCAGTTGGTTCTGGACAATGCAATGTGGCAGATCAAGGAACTTCCCAAAAGCTGACATTCTAAAAGCTTCCAATTGCTCCTTCGTCAACGTTTTCTTGATGTCACTTATCGTGCATTTCTCTTTGCTGTTGTCGTTACTGTTTTGCACCTTCACATTTATACCCCTTGGATAAGGGATCAGCAATTCCCACTCCTGTAGAAAATAATGAAAACAAATAAATATAGATTTTTTGATACACGATAATGTAGAATACTAACATATACTGATCATATTGTTCAAAAAACTGTTCCACAGATTAATAGCATATGTCTAATGATGTTTTACACTTAAGTGAGTATATATAATGTATATGTCTGTGACAAATATACAGCATACTTGTCCCAAAAACAAATTCCATATACTTGACATATAATAAGCCAACCCTATTCTGCTTATGAGTTTTTTATGTCCTCTGTTTTGCAGATAAACATACATTCATCGTCTGCTTAACAGTTCCCAAGGATGATTAATATATCAATCAGATATATACACTACATAGAGTATATGTTTGTTGTATGTCTTATGTACATATACCACATAATTTGTCAAAAACTCATATCATGTAATTACTTAAAAAAAAGGAGCAGCAATGGAATTATAAAATTATAACTGAAAGATTGAACGATTCAACACACTGAATAAATGAAAAAAGCACACACTAGACATTTTCATCTAAACAGTGTGACAAAAAAATGACAAAATTATAACAAAAAAAAAGTCAAAAAAATTGAAAAAAACATCAAATTAGGGCTACAGAAAACAGGATTATTTATTCAACGACCAGTGTGATGACAATGAAAAAAAATTACCTTAAACACTATCTGCTTCTGAATGCGTTTCACGCCTGGGTTCGGTTTTCTCCTTTTCTTGTTCAGATTTACTTCCCCTTTCTCTTTTTGAATCCTTTTTTTGTTTCTTTTGTTGAAATTTTCCACCGGGGATTCCTCTTCCTTCGAGTATTCTTCACTAGAGATGTCTTCTGGTTGAATTTCATCTTCAAAATCGGAGTTGGAAGAATTACCCTTCTCATTGGAATTGGGGATTTTGGATTTAGAGTACCGCCGTATGTTTTTTGGATTTTTACGGCCGTGGTCGGACTGGAAGTCATCTGAATCAGAGGATGGAACTTGCTTCTTCATACTTGCGTTGGTGGTGGACTTGCGACTAGGGTTAGGGTTCGTTTTTTTCTCAAAAAAAAGCTTTTTCTGAACGAGTTTGGGCTTTGATTTTGAAATGACATTCCGAATCCGGGAACTTGACCTTATCTGCGGTGTTTCTTTGCCGTCGTTCGCCTTTTTTCTTCGATTCTGGCGGGCGATTTTGGTTATCGCCATAGACGGGATTTTTTTTTTTTCTTCTGCAAAAGGCAAGATAAAAAGGAAACGTCCTTATCGGTGAAATATTCATTAATTATCGGAAAATAACTGCACCACCATTAGTTTAGGTAGATTAGCAATATTTTATTATATTTCTGGTGATTGTATAATTATTTAACTAATGGTGGTATATTTATAATATTTTAGTGAAGAGGAAGTATAGGATGTAATTTATACATGAAAGAATAGTGACAACCAATAAATGGGCCTTGAGATTTTTTATCATATTTGGGCCGTCCAAGCCATTTTGTTGACGAACCAGATTTTAGACACTCATCATCAGCCGGGCCCGTTAACCAAATCAT